CCAGAGAGTGCAGGGAACTCGTCTGAGGTTCACAGTAGTGGTGAGGGAAGCTAGAATACAGGACTCCTGATCCCCAGCCCAGATCCTCCCACCCATGCGTGCCCTGAGCGGAGCAGGTAGATCCTTGTGCCTGTGGCTGGGGAGCCAGAGGGGCACAGAGTGGGAACTGTCCCCCTACCTCCTGGACACTCGGTGTAGTGGCTTTCTGAGTGGGCAAAGGACCAATGGGAATGGGGGCCTCGGGCCACATTCCCTCCCTAGATTCCTAGGACTGTCTTACTGAGCCGGACTGTAGCCACCGAGGCCTGCCAGGATCCCAGGAGATAAAGGCTTCAAGACACTGCCCGTTCAGCCTCTCCCCGCCCCCTTGCTGGCCTCCCTTTCAGTGCCCCAGGACCGTGGGCAACTGAAGTGTGTTCGTCTGGTACACGCAGATGGCTCACAGATCCCTGGAGGAGCAGGGCCCTCACCCTCACCGGATGTGCTGGCTCCTAAGGTCTGGAGAGCATCAGAACTTTTTGAGGGCACACAGCAGGCTTACGGTGGGGCCTCTCCATCTAACATCCAGTTATCACTAAGATAACTGTTTCTCCAACCATCCATCCATGTGATAGAAGTTAACTGAGGACCTACTATGTACCCTGTCCTCCTGTCCTCACAGAGTTCACAAGCAAACACCAAGGAAACCACAAATTAATAATATTAAATTGTGATGAGTGCGATGAAAGCGACAGAGAGAATGATGAGCCGGGTGGATGGGAGTTCTTGCTCAGGTACAGTAGGACTTCTGTGGGGAGGGAACAGGCCTGTGAGGCCACACACATGCAGGAGTAGGAACAGTGTTCCAGGCAGGGGGGAAAGCATTTGCAAAAGCTTGGAGGCCAGAGAGATCCTGATGTGTTTGAACAAAGAGAAAAGAATGGTTGAGGCAGAGAGCGGGCGGGGGGGGGTAGAAGGTTGGAGAGGTTGTCAGTGGCCAGGCATCAGGGCTTTGTGGGCCCGAGGGAGTCTGACTTTTATCCTGAGGGTCAGTAGGGGCCACTGCAGGATTTTAAACAGGGAACTGATGAGACCAGGTCACCAAGGTGCACTGCGGAGGATGTACTAAAGAGGGCAGGAGGGAGGCAGGGGACGAGTGTGGAGGCTGCAGTGGCCGATTATGAACTGAACACTGCGTGCACACACACCCCTGCTCCGTGCTTCCCCCAACTCTTTATCCACCTGAGAGGCTGCAGGAATGCATCTCAACAGGGAGTCTGGGCTTCAGGGTCCCAGCCTGTGCGTGGCCACTTGACTCACAGTATGGCCCTTTTCCTTCCCTGGCCTCTGTATCCTCTGAACAGTGCTCCTCTGATAAGGACATCTATGCCCTGGGCCTCCGGTTCTAGCATGTCCTCTGCTACCTAAGTGTCTGTGTCCTGGGGTCTGCCACGCTTCCCTACACCTCTGTTTCCCTAGGACAATCAGTGGCGTCTGGGCATTACTGAGACAAGGCAACAGCTGTCTGGCGAGTCCTCCAGCAGTACCCAGGAGTGCCAGCAGGTGGCGCCCCTAGCCCCTGGAGGGGTAGGAGGAGGAGAAAGGCATTGGGAGGAGAGAGGCTTCTGGAAGGCAAAGATGCCTCACAGGAGCCCCCCTCCCTCCCCGCATCTGTCCCTACCTGGAGGTGGGCAGGGCAGGAATTAAGATCCCTGATTCTGAGGTGGAAGCAGGGACTCAGAGAGAGGAGTTAACGTGTCCAAGGTCACAGAGCGAGACTGAGGCTTGGCTGGGACGGGCCCCCAGTCCAAAGCTCTTGGACTACAGTCCAGAGAGAACTTCAAGAGGCTGGCGGTGCGGCGCAGTGGGCCTAACACTGGCCCTGGTGCCCACCAACTTCTCTTAGGCAAACTATTTCCAACAGAAAGCTGAGCCCAGAAACTTGTCTCTTCTAGGGCCATAAACCTGATTGAAAAACCAAGTTATCACTAAGATCTTTATGAGGCCATCAGCTCTGTGCCCCACCCCAGGAGGCCCTGGCTGGGTGTGTGAGAGCAGCCTGTAGGGAGGGCTTCAAGGGGGAAGAGGGGCCTACCCAGGAGTCAGAAGAAGGAGGGGTCCAATAAACAGCCACTCCCAGGGGCAGGGGATGTCAGAGAGGAAGAGGCTGTCCACAAGACAGGGTAGACAGGGCCTTCTCCATGCACAGAACCACACTGGACTGCTATCCCAGTCCCAGTGAGCACAGGGGGAGACTGAGGCCCAGGGGCTCAAGGTCACAAGGCGAGTCAGAAGCCAAGGTGGGAAGACCTGCAATTTCAGACTCCCAGCCTGGGTCATTTAAACAAGGTTACAGTGTCCTGGTTGGGGGAAAACTGGGTTGCCACATCAGGGCTGGCTCAGGACTTCTACAGGGGGTCCACCTAGGGGTGAGGGCGAAGGGAGAGTGGAGGCTTTTTTGCATGAAGAAGTCAGAGGAGGAAGAGGAACCAGCTATTTGTTTAAGCAAAATCCCAACTAACAAACTAGGGGGCAGGGAGGCACACACAGCTCACTATCCTGGCAGCGGGGGCCAGATGTAGAAGAAAGAAAAACTTTAGCTGGGCATGGTGGCTCATGCCTGTAATCTCACACTTTGGGACGCCAAGGTGGATGGATCACCTGAGGTCAGGAGTTCGAGACCAGCCTGACCAACATGGAGAAACCCTGTGTCTACTAAAAATATAAAATTAGCCAGGTGTGGTGGCAGACACCTGTAATCCCAGCTACTTGGGAGGCTGAGGCAGGACAATCGCTTGAACCTAGGAGGCGGAGGCTGCAGTGAGCCGAGATTGCTCCACTGCACTCCAGCCTGGACAACAAGGGTGAAACTCTGTCTCAAAAAAAAAAAAAGAAAGAAAAAGCAAAACTTCCAGCTAGGATATTGACTTCTGTGTGACTTCAGGCAGGTGACTTTGCTTCTCTGAGCTCCAGCTTCCTCCCCTGCAAAATTGGGCTAACAATCAACCCCACCTAGTTGTGCTACTGTGAGAAGGAACTGAGATAACACATGCAAAGGGCTTGACATGATGCCTGGCACTTAGTAAATGCTTAATACATAGCAGTGCTATTGTTGTTATTATTACTCCAGCAAAATGTTAAGGGCCAAACCCTGAAATCTCAGAGAGAACTGAGCTAGGAGTCAGAAAGCCCAGTACCGGGGAATCCACAGGAAGGGTGGGGGCCCAACCCAGGATGTGTCCATGGAGTGGGAGGGACATCCACCCTGGGAGGGCACACTACTGAGGGGACCACAGAGCAGCTGGAGGGGCTCCCCAGGTCTTGGGGGTCCCTGGCTCTGCCCTCTGCCTGATCAGGAAAACAGTCTTTGCTCTGCTGGGAAAGGACTGCCGCTTTGGCCCCTAGCTCTCAGCTACCACCTAGTCCTGGCCACCATCTCCACCACTCCTGGACCCCTGCCCGGCTTCCTGCTGCTCTCTGGCGCCCCGCCTCTCCTCTGGCTCATTCTCCACACACCAGCCACAGCTGTCTTCCCGCCACTGCCCTCAGCCACTCTAACCCCTACATAATACCCTTCTACACCCTCATCAGGCTTGTCCCACCAGGGCCTGCTCTGTCCCTTGCCGGACTCCTCTCTTGCCTCTACCACTCCAGACTGGCCTTTCAGTGCTAGGAGAACAAGTGTCCCCTCGGGCCTCAGGGCCTCTGTTCATACTGACCCTTGACCCCTGCCGCCCTTCCCCACTCCCCAGGGCCTTGACTCACGTGTCACTTCCTCCTGCAAGGCTTCCCTGACTCCTCCCTCTGGGTCAAACCTCCCTATTCCTGGCCCTTGCCAAGATGTAACTTTACCTTTATTTGTGATTATTTGATTCATACCTGTCCACCCCTGCCAGACCCCAACTATAAGTACTGCAAGAGCAGGAACTCACTCAGTACCTAACATAGTGTCAGCACAAAGGAGATGTGTTAATACATATTTTTCAAATGGATAAATACATAAAGAAATGAATTTGTATGCCTTTCTAACCCTTAAGCCTACCATTTAGGCCTGACAGAACATACTCTTGAAAGTAGAGGGCACCTAGAGAGCACCCTTCCCCCAGGATAGACATCCTTTCCCCAGCATCTCTAACGTGAGACTGACCTCCAGCAGTCACTTACATACCTCCTGTGATGATGAGCTCACTCTCTCTCATGACAGCCCATTTCCTGACAGATGGCCCCTAACAGAGCACTTTCTTACGTATAGGTGGGCTGAAATCCACATCTGTAGCCTGCAGCTTCCTCCCTGAGGTCCCAAGGCTGCCCTGTCTTCCTCCTCAGACTCAGACCCCACTCCAGGTCTTCTCTTCCTGCAGTCCAAGCAGTCCCTGTTCTCTCAGCTCAGAAAGTGGAGTTCAGTCCTCTTGGGCCTCTTCTCCCTCCTCTGTGTACTTGCCAATTTCCCACCAATCCCTTGAAAACTTGAGTCCTAAGCAGAGCCCAGAGCTCCAGATGACTTCTGAGAAACATTTCAGCACTGCATCCACTTCCTGACCTGGGAAAGTGGGATCTTCCCTGCTGAGGCAGCCATGTGCTCATCTGTGTCATGTGCTGATCTGCACACATGTGGACAGCCATGTGCTCCCGAAAGGTAGCCAAGGGCTCCGCCCGGTCAGCAACAGCCAGGATCTCCCTTCCCCTCTCCTACAAGCAGCCTTCATTTTGCTGCAAACACTGGGCACTAGTCCTTTCCTTTCTGAGCCTCAATGCTTCTACCTGTGCGATGGAAAGGGTTCCTCTGAGCAGGAAGCGGAGGGAGCCCTGTGCTGGCTGAGTCTCCGGCTCTATCACATATCAGAACTCCAGAAGAGCAAGAGTCTCACCAGGGCCAGCTTCTTGGGCGGGTCACCATTGCAGTCACACAGAGCCCAGTGTCTGGAAGCGCCCCGGGCTCAGGTGAATGCTCTGCTGCTACCATCCTGAAATCTTTAATCATTTTCGAACAAGGGACCTTATATTTTTTTATTTTGCTCCAGGCCCGGCAAATTATGTCCTGATCCCGAAACATCTGCCCAGCCCTGAGACGATACCTACCAGCCCCCAGCTAATATGGTGACCCAAGAGACAGACGGGTTGAACAGATAAGACCCTGATTCTGACCTTCTTCGGGGGACCACACATCCCTGCACAATGAGAGGAACCCAGGAAATGTGGGCCCATCCAATCCCACAGGGTGCTTCTGCACAGTTCCCTGGCACAAAGCCCTTGTGGGGAGGGACCCCACCTGACTTCCTGTCCTTCATGCATTCTTCCCCAAATCCCTCAGCCTTGCCCCCACTCCCAGTTCACTGACACCCCCTCAAGTGTTCCCATCCCCCACTCCCCCTTAGGTAACTATGAAATGTTTGCCAGTCCTTAATATGGGGTGGAGGAACATGTGATGCATTTAAAATCCCAAGGGGGCTCCAGCCATAATAAATGGATCAGGGCTTTTGGATCCCGATTCACACAAACCAACTGCTAAAAAGACATTTTTGAATCAATTGGAGTACTCTGAATACGAACTGTGTGTTAGGTAATACCCAGGAATTTGTGTTAATTTTGCTAGATGTGATAATGGCATATTATGTAAGAAAATGTCCATGTATTTTAGAGATGCGTGCTGAAGTATGTAGGGGTAAAATGACATGACGTCTGGAATTTGTTTTAAAATACTTCAGAAAAGCGGGGAGTAGATGAAATAAGTGTGACAAAACCTTAATAGTTGTTGAAGCGGGGTGATGGGTACACAGCAGTTCATTATACAATTCTACTTTTGTGTATGCTTGAAACTTCTCAATTAAAAAAAGAGGGTAGAGGGTCATCAAGATAATTTGCTAAAAGTTTCCTGCAATGTCCCCAGAAGACCCCCCCCAACAGACACACACACACACACACACACACACACAGCCTTTTGAGAACTTTCTCTAGAAGGCCAACCTAGGCAGTCCCCCAACTGTAAAGAAGACTCGTGTATGTATGTGCATATGTGCTTTTCCCCAGGGAAAAACATCCACAGCTTCCATGACGAGAGGGGTCGTGACCCCTCCCCGCCGAAAGATTAAGGACCTGCGATCCTACAGACCGGAGCCCTGTTTGAAGTCTGCGTTTCCCCTCACCTCAAGTTGGTCACTGTGTGAAGCTGGCCAAGAATCCCCTGGCCCCTGGGTGCCTGTTCCTCCACCTGTAAAATGGGGCTGCAGGGCCGTCCACGCGGCCACTGGAAGGACAAGGTGTTCAGGCCGCTAGGCCGCCCCCTGGCAAGTGATTTCCACTCGCAGCGCGGCCTCCACCCTCGCCCAAGACGCGCCCTCCGCGCCCCCACCCCCTCCAGGCCTTGGCCAGTCCACCTCCCGCTTGGGGCGGCAATTTGTCTCCTTTTGAACCCCCCGCCCCCGACGGGTTTCCCCCTTTGATTCGCGGCCCGGAGGCTTCCCCCCGCTTTGAAATGCAAACCCGCCTCGGCTGGGGCCGCGGGCGGCCCGGAGCTATAAAAGGCCTGGGTGGGGCGGGCGCGGCGGCAGGACAGGCGAGTTCAGGTGAGCGGTTGCTTGTCGTCGGGGCGGCCGGCAGCGGCGGCTCCAGGGCCCAGCATGCGCGGGGGGCCCCGCGGCCACCATGTATGTGGGCTATGTGCTGGACAAGGATTCGCCCGTGTACCCTGGCCCCGCCAGGCCCGCCAGCCTGGGCTTGGGCCCGCAAGCCTACGGCCCCCCGGCCCCGCCCCCGGCGCCCCCGCAGTACCCCGACTTCCCCAGCTACTCTCACTTGGAGCCGGCCCCCGCGCCCCCGACGGCCTGGGGGGCGCCCTTCCCTGCGCCCAAAGACGACTGGGCCGCCGCCTACGGCCCGGGCCCCGCGGCCCCTGCCGCCAGCCCAGCTCCGCTGGCATTCGGGCCCCCTCCGGACTTTAGCCCGGTGCCTGCGCCCCCTGGGCCCGGCCCGGGCCTCCTGGCGCAGCCCCTCGTGGGCCCGGGCACACCGTCCTCGCCCGGAGCGCAGAGGCGGACGCCCTACGAGTGGATGCGGCGCAGCGTGGCGGCCGGAGGCGGCAGTGGCAGCGGTAAGGACCCCTCCCTCGCCCTGCACCTCTGGACCTGCAGGTGCTCAGGCGCGGCCCAGGCCGCCCCGTGTCTGACCTCTGCTCCGGCCCTGCTCGGGTTCCCGGGAGTGTGGCCCTCCTGTCCACTCTCGCCCCGGGGGGCTGCTCTTTGAGCTCCCTCTCCTGAGTCTCAGGCTATCGGAGCCTTCAGCAGCTCAGCCTAACCCTCTCTCTCTACAGATAGGGAAACCGAGACCCCTTGCGAAGTGCGGAAATGCGCCTGCGGCCGCGGAGCAAGGCCCGAACTAGAACGCAGGCTCCCAGACTGGTGTCCTACACTCATTTAGCAACACTGGCTCTTCATCTGCTTCTTCCACTCCTAACCCAACCCTAGGCAAAGGCGGCAAGTTCGCCCCAGAAGGGACGATTCGCTAACTGTGAACAGGGCAGGTGACTTTCCTGGCCAGGGCTGGGTCTCCCCATCATACAGTCAAGAGATTGCTGGGTCATATCTTTCAGGCTGAAAAAGAGCCCTCTTTGGCCAGACTGCGGCAAGGGGTCTGTACCTTACCTTCCCAGGGTCCTCCCTGAACTCTTGACCCCGGGGGAGGGGAAGCGGGAGCAGTAGGAAGGGGGCTACTGTTTGGCTCCTGAGCCTGTGAACCTCCTGCCCCCAGGCAGGCCTCTCTGATCCGCCCTCTTCAAAGGCAGGGGAGGTGGCAGGACAAAGGGCCCAACTTTAATGAGGGGCGGCTTGACCTCCGTTATGGGTCCCCCCTTTGTCATGTAACTGGCTCTGCCTTACTCGGTAGTGACTCCTGTTGGCCGGAAAGTGAACACGATGTTCCATTGTCCCGACTGTGTCCGGCCTGTCCTGACAAAGGCCACCTAGCCTTGGGGGCGGGAAGCTGGCCTGCCCACCCTTTGATGTCCAGCCCCTCCTCTCCTTCCCCCAGCTGGGAATAAGCCTGGGACTTCCCCCACCTCCTCACACTCTTCACCCCCGTCTCCCCACACACCCTCAGCTTGCCTCGGGGCAGATACTGGCTTGGCCTTGATCAGGAGCTACAGGTTCTGGCCACATATACCCTTCTTGGAAGTCCCAGGGATACAGAACCTCCTATCTGCCTCCAGGGAGGTACAGGGAACCAGACTCTGCCGCTTGCTTCTGTGGCCTTGATTAAATAACAGCTAATGTTTTGGAACACTTACTAACGGACCAGGCATGACCTAAGTAAGATCTTGCATGCATTAACTCCTTTAACTCTTAAAACATCATTGTGGGTACTATTATCACCCCCATTTTAAGATGAAGAAACTACGGCATAGAGACTTTTAGTACTTGCCCAAGGACATATAACCTGTAACTAGTGGGGCCGAGATTTGAACCCAGGAGGACTAACCACTAAGTCTGTGCTCTAATTCTCTATACAACAGCTCCTCTTAAATCAGTCATCTTTTCTGGGTTTCAGTTCTACCATCTGTGAAATTAGAGAGAAGGGAGGTTATGCAGTGGTTTGTACTCTTGTTTAAGTTACAAAAGGACTCCTTTGAAAAATCTGCTGAAAGGTACAAATCTTTTTCCTAGGGAAAAAAATGTTGCATCATTGGGCAATTTCAGGGGTTCTGGAGGCTCCCAGAAGCTTTATCCACAAATCCGGGGTTAAGAACCCTGTATTATATGAGAGAAGGTGGTGGCATCACCAGTGCTCAGGATCCTGCAGTTCCCAGTCTGTGAGGCTCTGGAGAAGGAAGCCTGCGTTTCCTGCTCCTCTGTTCCACTTGCTGCTTCCTGCTCATCCGGTGACTTTGGAGATGAATGGGGAGGTTCCCTATGGGTAGGGACTTGGAGAGAGGCCATCACTGTATAAGGGAAAAGGAGTGTGTCAATGGGGGTCAGAGGACTGGGGTATCCTGCAGGATCTTCTGTACAAATCACCTCGTGCCTCTGGGCACAAGAGCTGCTGAACCTGGCTCATCCTCTGGTCTCAAAAGTCGCTTGAAAACTGTTGTCTGCAGGCAGATGAGTCTGCCGCACGCAAAAAAGCATTTCCCCCCTTGCTCTCTGAGAGTAGAGGGAAAAGCAGAAGGAGGTCTGGGGGTTCCCAAGGCTCCAGGAAAGGGACTGCCTAGGAGCCAGGTTAGCCGCCTTCTGCAGAAGATGTAGGAACCCTGACCTTGAAGCTAGAAGGTGCTGCCTCTCTATCTGGTGCTCCTGAAGTGGGGGCAGAATTGGGTTGAAACTGTTGACTCTCCCTGAAAGAGAGGCCAAGCCCCTCCTGTCTTTGGCCTCAGTTTCTCCTTCTGGGCAATGAAGGCACAGGGTTTCCAGGGGCAGTTCCTGTGCAATGCTGCTGTCCAGGACAGCTGAAGGAGGATCAGTGCATGCCACTGCCCTCCCAATCCCCACTGGCACTGGCCACCAGATCTTCGGCCTGCCACCAATCCTGGCTAGCCCCTTCTTCCCCCACTTCTGAGCCTCCAGCATTCGAGAATGGACAAACTGGACAGTTAGAGACCGCACATGGAGATGAGGAAACCAAGGTACAGAGACTGTGAGGAATGTTCCAGTTTCACACAAGCGGGGCTGAGCTGGGCTGGATGTGAGAAGGATTGGTTTAGAATTTTTCTATGGTTTCCCATCATACGTAGGATAAACCCCACATTCCTTCCTGAGGTCTATAAGACTACAGCATTTGCACCTGCCTGCCTCCCTGACCTCATCCCTGGCTGCCCTCACCTTGGCTTTCAAGCTCTAGCCATTCCAGACTTCTTTTAGTTCCTCAGACCTGCCAAGTCCTACTGCAGCGCTTGTGCACATGCTGTTCTCTCTTCCAGGAACGCTCTTTCCCCTGATTCTTTGCAGGAGTGGATCCTTCTTACCCTTCCGATCTTAGTTTAATCATCACCTCCTGTGTGAAGCCCTCCACCATTTCCCAAAGTGGACTCCCTGCTACAACCATCACGAGTCTTTGCTGTGTTTCCTTCAAAGCACTAATTCCAGTCTACTCACTTACTTACACTTGTTTGTATGTTGTCCATTCCCATGAGGTCCAGAGCTATGTCTGCTTAACCCACCACTGCATCCTGGCACCCAGCTCAGTGCATGGCATTTAGTAGGTGCTCGATATATTTTGTTGAGTGAATGAACAGGGCAAGTGTGAGGGACAAAAGACATCTCTGGGGAATGGGGGGTGGGTGAGATCTTAGCTTTCACACAGGTTTCTGAGGTCCCAGTCCTAGGATTGGGACCTGTGACTGTCTAGCCAAGCAGTTCAGGTCAGTGGAAACCTGGCTGCCTCTGTCTCTCCACTTGGATGGTACCCCGACTCATGTGGGGAAGTGGGGTTGCTGAGGCTGGGACTGAGACTTCAGTTTCTTCTAAGTAGGGGGCGGTGACAATGGGAAAGATGAGAGAGAGGCTGTTGGGCTTCAATCAGTCTCTGATTCCTAAAGACAATATTAATCAGTTCTGAGTGATCAGTATCATTTGACTGAGGCCAGGATAGGAAATGACTACAAGACATTGTTTTTTTTTCCTTTTCTCTTTGCATTTTCATGAGGAGGGTTTTAAATATCAGCATTTTCATTAGGAGGGTTACACATCATCCTTCCATGGAAGGCTCAGCCTCCAATTCCTTTGAATAAACCTGCTCCACAGGTTAATAGCCCATTGGGGTGGCTGAGGTCTCAGGACTAGGGAGACATTCACACGGATGAGACTGTGGGAACAAGGTTTAGATCTTGGTCCAACTCCGTCAGCTTTCAGATGGGGAAACTGAGGCCCATGAAGGGCATGAATGCTCCCCTCCTCCCACATTGCAGGCTCTCTCCCTTGGCCTATTGCCACAGCCACCAGCCTGTTCTCTCACCTTCAGCCTCTCTGTGATGTTCCAGCTGTCTTCTAAAACCATTGCCATATTTACCTTCTCAAGGCACGTGCCCTACTCAGGAGCATTCTGTGGCTCCCTACTGACATGGAATTGCCATTTCATGTTATGCCATTTCTTTGTTGTAAAATCTAGCTCCATTTCTGTGGCAATCAGAGCCTTCTTCAGAACTGGCCTCAACCATCTATTGAAGCCATTCTCCTGCTACTTTGACTAGATAAGGCAAGTTAAGAGCCAGGGCTTGGGAGTCTCAGACCTGGAATTGAATTTCCACAAGAAGCTGTATAGCTTCAGGCAAGTTAATTTGGATCATTTCGCCACGCCTGGGCTTCTCCACTGTAACAGGATAATAATAGGATTGCATCTCGAAAGAGATGCCTGCAAAGCACCACCCTGCAGCTAGCACACAGTAGTTGCTTAGGGCATCGGTGCCTGTGACCACCTCAACCAGTCCTCAGCAGGTGCACTGGAGCGCAGACCTCAAACTCCCTGCCTCTCCAGTCTGGTCCCTCGACCTGCATTGCCGTCCCTTCCATCTCCTGCTCAAATGCTGCTCAGAGAACCTGCTCTTCACCAGCTCAAATGCTGTTCCTTCTCCAAGGCTGTCTCCTGTAGGAAGCCCTCCCTAATTCCTCCCTCCTAAGCACTGTATCAGGCCCTTGTTTTCATGACACTTACCACTGACTCTCTACTTTCATTGTCTTATTTATGCCTGCCACTTACCATCTGTAGTCCCTCGAGGACCAGTCCTAATCAGTCCCATCCTCACCCTGCCTTGCACATAGTAGGAGCTCACAAGAGAGCAAATAACTGTGGCATTGGCTAAATCTTTACTGCATGCCAGGCACTGTGCCAAGAACTTTGCGTGGGTGATCTCACTTAAGTCTCATGATAGCCCTGAGTGGTGTAAGGATCTAGTATTAGACTCATTTTATAGATCAGGATAATGAGGCTTAGAGAGGGTAAGGTGGCCTGCCCAAGCTCACACAGCGAGGACATGGCAGCACCGTGTTTACACCCAGTCTACAGCCCAGCAAGCATCTATGAAATAAAGCCACACACTCAGGAAGGGGAGCCCGAGACCCCCCTTCCCCATGGACATTCCAAGCCAGGTGTGGGGAAAAGGAGGCC